TTTTTTTACTTACAATAAATATAATAAATAATGTAAATTACAATTTCCAATCGAATTCGCTTAAAAAAATAATTTCTGAACTTAAAATTAAATTTAAACAACGTTTTTCTGACCTTGACGTAAAATCTGAAGACATAAATATTTTTTAAAATCCGTTTGGTTGTATTTTATATTAATATACATACAGTGACACCTCCCTAAACGGACACCTTTAAATAGCAGACACCTCCGAATAGCGGAGTTTTTATGGGAACGGGGATATTTTCATTACTTTCATATAGGAAAATCCCTAAATACTGGACACTCTAAATAACGGACAAAAAAAAATGTTTGGCCCATTAAAAACATTTGATTTTTTTTATGGCCCTTGAATAAAAAAGTTTGGAGACCCCTGCCGTAGATCGTCAATAAAACGTATCGATTTCATTTGAAGGATATATATTGCCTTGACATTTTATAATGATAACTAATTTACAAAATCAATTCATGGCATAAACAAAAATTTATATTTTATTTTATTAATTTATATATAATTCTATAATGCTAATACTTATAAATATTTAATATCATTAAATTAATAATATTTTAATGTAATAGCAAATTAATGTAACAAAATTAATATACCATATTATAGTTTCTATCATAATGATTGCGCACCATAATAACTCGGAAAAGCACTAAAAGTAGTGACAAAATATGGTAATTTTAAACTAGGTAGGTAACTTAAAACATAAAAATATCAAATATCAACTAAACCGAATTTAATCGTAATACAATACTGTATATTTATATTTGGATTTCAGTTGAAATAATATGAAAGTTGGGAAACAAATAAATAAAAGGAAACTTTATAACAAATTGTTTTGTTTCGTTTCGTTTTTCCGGGTTGGATGTCGTATAGATTTATAGTGTACAATTTGCAATGTCCTCATTGATAAAATATTCTACTTGATATATTAATGGCATTTTTGAATGGGTTTTAAAGGTTCAACCTTCTTATTAATATTGTTTTATATTTTTAGATATACTATTAAATAATGTATTACTGAAACATAACACAGCGTAATGTATTACATTTTCAAATATTATTATTAAAATTTCCTTGAAACGTTTTCTTCTTACGGGTTTGTGTCAAACAATAAAAATAAAATATATTTAGTATATTTTAACTAGTATATATTTACTTTATATTATATAGTATAGTGTCTATAACCAATGTACGGAAAAGAAAAATTAATGTATAAATGAGAATAACTAAAGGCAAAAAATCAGTATAACTTTTATACTAACTTATTATGTTCAACTTTATACGAGATCCATATTGTCGGACTTGATAAAATATAAATAACATATGGGATCCGCTTACATGATACAGCTGATGTTTAAAATTTAGAAATATTTTTTTTGTTATAAATAATAATACAGCAATGATTTTTTACCATATTATTTTGCAATACGAAATATTGAAATCAAATATTTTATTCGATTAAATATTTTTCTTTAACTGCAATTTTAGCTCGAAGAACAATATAAATATTTACTGGAGTCGTATATATTGATGGAAAGAAATCTATCGATTTAACTACAAGATTTTGGATTGAAAATTTATTAATTCGATTTAATGTCGATTTTAGTGTATTCTTATTCTCAACGACTACTCGATCAATATAGAACAAGTGCAGTGGCGTATTTCCTATTTTACTAATATTATATATTGTTAATAGATACAGAAGAAAAATTTCGCTACATTAGATATTGTTTATTATTTAATTTTCCAAAAAATATTCAACCACATTCACTTAAAGTATACAACGTATTTATAATGAGTTTTGCGGTATAATAACTAATTTAATTTCTTTTTTTCTAGGTACACGAAGAAATCAAGCCAAAAAATGCAAGAACCATTCACTTTGAAACAACTTTGAGGTAAGCCGTAAACAAATTATACGAACCAAAAAAAAAAATCACATGTGTTTAATTAGAGTCAACCGTTAAGTTATGAATAGGTAATGAAGTATTAAATTTACTTCCACGACGCGACAGTTTAAAACAATGTGTCATGAGCAATAATTCAACCGTAAGATCGTTTGCACGTTAAGACGATTTAAAAAAAGAAAATTATTTTCTATTTATACATGTATGTTTTTTAATCATATATATATATATATTTGCATATGCCTCACCTCTCCCTTTGATTGTAAAACATGAGCTAACGAAATTTTAAATTTTGAAAGAACGATTTTTGTAATTGCAATTTAATTATGATTTGCGAACATTTACAATTCGACTGGTTTGATCAGATTTTAGAACGGAAAAAATATAAATCAAACGCACTGTGCTATAAATCAAAACGTTATTAAATAATAAAATCGAAAATTTCCAAGAAGTGAAACCAAGAATGATAAAATAAATAATTTCAAATAACAAATTTGGCGAGGGAAAGCGCTTTATGGGAAAACGTACTAAACGAATGTATAATATACTTGGCTTTACTCGCGCGATAAACCGCGTGTGTATACATTGATCTCGCAAAAAGATTCCGAAAACTATCACGAAAACAATGAATGCGCTATTACTATTATTAATTTTTAATATAAAATGAATATTATTATTGGAGCCTGAAAGTTTATATACATACAAAAGAGTAAAACTACCGAAAATACACACACATCCAACCACTTAAATAAGCATTAAAATAAATTGTGCTTGAATCGTTTGTTTTTCTTATAGAAGTAAAAAAACATCTTACATAATTACAATTTTAATTTTAGAACAGTTATATTTTTATGAATATAATGATACAATATAATGATAATATTGTTTATAACATATTATTTTATTTGTTTAAGAATTAAAATAGAATTGTTAAAACACAGTTAGTTAACATATGTCATATGCTAACGCCCAGGACCGAGTAATTTGAAATGCCGGTAACCAAAAAATAAACATTTCCAGTCGGAAATATGCACGGATACTTGTATTATGTTCTGTAAAGTTGTATGGCTATACAAATTGCCATTACTTTACCTGCAACTTCATGTTCAATAAAAAAAATCTTTCAGATAACATTTTCTATATTATATTTCTCATTTTTTATTCGGTATATTAATTTTATAAAATAAATTGTCATTATATTTTTAGTACATTACGTCGTTTGGTTGAAAAACAGAATGGGAAATGAAAGGTTAAGTAGTTTATCTGATTAATATTCATCAACAAAGATACGAAATTAAGGAATTTTTTTCAACAGCAATTAGAAGGTATTATTGAAAAGTTTAGATTGATTTCTTGGCGGTTGGCATTGCTTCTCAATGATTAATAATGTATTTATGTAAACAATTATATACATTTTTATGTAATAAGTAATAAATAAAATGAGTTATGTTTTAAATAACCCCCCCCCCCTTCACAGCTTATATTGGCACTAAAAATATTTTGCGCCTAGTGAGCTATATCTCTGTGGGCGTTCTTGCCCCTCCCCCCTCTCTGAATAGCGAACACCTCTAAATAACGGACAAAATTATGGCGACCAAAAGTTCCGGTATTTAGAGGTTTTACTATATTTTAGCCCTCCCTCCTCCCAAAAAAATGCTTTATTTTGCATCAATTTATTTTCATTGTTTTTAATTTCATCCCTAAATTAGTAAAATCGACAATAACTTTACTATAATTATAGCTATAATATTTTTGGGTAAGTTTCATAATTAATCAGTTCCAACTTGAACTTGAAGTTTAATCTTAATGCATCTTTGAATATATATACGAGTATTTATTTTTTTAATGATTTTTATTTATCTTACAAAATAAAACTTTTTTTTTGGGAATTATATAATAATATAGAGCGGTCCAAACAAGGACCGACCCATCGGGAAGATTCCCGATTTCCCAATAGGCCAATCCGCCCCTGCTTGTATTTTTTCAACGGAAAACGATTCATTTAATTCAACGACTACACGCCGACTATAAATTATACTCAGGAAACAACTATAATTATAAAAAATATGATTAAAAACCACATGCATCGCAAAATTTTTAATTCGTACGTGTTAGGTGCGGGTGTCATATTCGAGGTTAATAATGAGATCAAATGATTTTTCAGTCCTCACATTAAAAACACGCAGATGCAGAATGTACTTCCGGGACCTATTTAGATGGTTGTTACGACAATCGCGTATTCCTCCGAGCAGAGACGTATTTAGGAATTTTACACCCCATACAAGAAAAAAAAATGCCCCCTTCTCCATATCAACTGCAAACATTTATCCACGCATGAAGTGGAGATAATCCATACTTAAAATTATTTTCATTACAGAGTTAATATCATGGATATTGTAAACGGGTTTTACAATATTACATCTTTGTATGTAATGTAAGGTTTAATATTATTTAATTTTATATGGATTATAACATTTTTAAATTTGATTAGTTTTGGCCTAATATATAATCACATATTCTCCCATTGTGCGTCGACTAAAATCATATCGTATCATATTAGTATCATTACATTTTTTTTATCACCTAAATGACCTAGGCACTGTATTATATCAAAATGCTCATTAGAATTTACCGCCCGAGGCTCTAGCCTTCTCTGCCACGCCTTAATACGTCTTTGCTCCCAGGGTCCATTTTCACGTTACTCAACAAGCATGGAGGGGACCCGATGGGCACAAAACACTGTCCACGAGCACGACTCGTCACACAGGGTGGAGGCAATCGCAATCGCGCAAATCACCACGTCCCTGCGCGTATATGAATGCGCGTAACGCGCTCGACTCCTGCGCGTAGGCAAGGCACGTGCCCAGGACGGAACACGCGGCTCGTCTGCCGATACGCACGCGACGTCGTCGGCCGCGTGATAAATGATGATCAACGCACATCGGCCGTGCTTCGATCCTGCTCCGTCCCCCTCGCCCTTCCGTTCCGCCGCGGTAGTTTTCGTGTCTATTTATAGAGCTATCACGTCGCCGGTTCCGCGTTGTGCGTACCGGTGCATACGATACGCACGCACGCACTTGTCGAGTGTTCGTGTGCGCATACGTACACGAGTATTGTGTGTGCATGCGGGCTTGTGCACTTACCGTACGTGCGTACGTACGTGTACTGCGCTGGAAACGCACACGCGCTCCGTACAAAACGCCGTTGCATCGCGACGTCGCCGCCGCCGCCACCGCCGCATGAAGAACCCGTGTGCACTACGTCGTCGCTGGCCGTGTGCGTACGCCGGCGGTCGGTCGGTACGCGCGTCGGGGAGTGTACCGTACGGACGCGTGTGAACCGGGTGTAAGACGTGCGCGGACGGTGCGAGCATAGGACACGGAACGTGTCAGCGGAACGGCACAGCGAACAGTCGGCGACGGGGAAAAATAGTTGAAGGGAAGAACGGTTTTTGCGGGAGAGAGAAATCCAGTCGAAGGCCGGTTGGCAGGTACGCACACCTAGAATATCAAAAGCTGCACTCGCGGGTACGACCGTGACGGTTTAGAGGAATTCGAGGAGTACAATTATTCGCGTTTTAATATCGTAATATCGATTTGTCGACCGTGGACGACCGTCTCTCCTCCCCCCCACGTGGGCCCACGCGGTCCGTCTGCTACCCCTGCGCGACGTCCGGTCGTTAGCAGTTCAGGTGAGTGCAATTCAACAATCGTTCTAACCGTACAGGCAAATAGAAAAAAAAACAATGCGTTTAATTTATTTGTGCTCGCATGGATTTTTTTTTCGCTGGCACTTACATTTACGCACATATACACGTAGGAAAGCGCAATGCAGTGTGTAGCCGCGGGCACGAATCGCGTCGTCGCGTTTTTAGTTTTCACCGAGTCGGAAAACGAGCTCAAGCGGACACAGTTTTCGTCGCTTTTGGTGTGTACATAAAAACGGCTACAGTGCGCAAAACGGGCGGTGGTGTGTATCACTGCGCTCGTCGTTGCAGTTTTTATTATCACCGCGTGTCCACACACGCGCACATATATGTTACCGAAAACTGTGCGAACGGGTAAGTAAATACAATGCTGTTTATTCTTCTAGCGTGGCATCCACGTCATTATACTGTCAAAGGACACGAAACCCTATTCCATTTATACCGTGCGTGTATACACACAGATGCTCGTGCCCGTAGTCATATTTCCCGTACACGAAATCGCGTCGCCGGCAAAAATAGTAATAATTGGCTTTCTTTGTACGTGCATTAAAAAAATTGGACGGAATCTATTAGTTTTCCAGTTATTATTACTGATTATACACCCGGCATTGATATAAAAAGAACACGCCGAGACCTTTGTGGAATTCGTATAACATCTAAAAAACGTCGGTGAACGTTGTAAAGGAATGTGTCCCGGGGAAAATGTATTAACAAAACCGAAAAGATTGATGGATGAACTATAGACTTTTGGTTCCGTGACGTGAGTACATTAACCTCGTCACCGTGCACTTGGTAACGGACTATACAGTTCAGTTGTGTAATATTAAAGTTTTATTTTAATTTTATATTCTTCTATTATATTTGGGTCGCGGGTATACACGCGTTGTAAATAACGATAAGCACGGAGTTATTAAGTTTTTAAATCTTCGGGTGACGAATATATTATAACCTTGCGTGAAAAAAAAATCTCACAAACACGTCACACACGGTTATGACGTATATACAAATTACGTCAGAAATGTGTATATTTTATTCCTTAATGTTAAGGAATAAAATAATATGCCACTCAATGACCTCGCGCGCGCAGGACACACACGTAAAATGTCTGCAGCACGACTGGCTGCGGTTATTGCGGGTCAATAGGTCAATCAATGGAATTTCCTTAAGTTTTACTAAATTATTACTCGCGCCTGTTTTCCTATATACATACACAAGTCGCGGCGCATTAATACGCGTTATCGTTTACAATAATAAAATTACGTTACGTTACGTTAGTCGATGAGCTACTATATTACTACCATAAGCAATAATACCATCACTTGCTCCATGTTTTCCAGCGCTTTTATAAATACATTTTGTTGTTCTACGCGCACATCTGGACTGCTTACGGTCGCGCTTAAAGTCTCACAACACTAACAATGGCGCCAATAGGATAACGATTTACAAAAACAAAGTAAAAATATATTTATAACGTTCGTCGGAAACTATGAAATAACCATGGGGGCGCACGTCTAGTCCTACACAGAAATAATAACATACCGGGTGCGCGTTCGTTTCCGGGAGTCGATAAAAAAACATTTTAAAAACTACAGCATTTTTTACGTATACTTGTTATCTCTTTTTCAGTGCACACCAGCGAGATGGACATGTTTTCCAAAACTAGCCAACTCCCGAAAAAACATCACCGGTGTATTTCGCTGGAAACGTAAGAGAAATTATTAAGTTCTAAGCCGTGACGGTTTGTTAATGGTAGTATCGTTCGCATTTGTGTTTCTAGCGGGCAGACGATGACGAAGAAATCGTATCCGAAAACGCCGTTGGACCTTCCTAGATTTTTTCCACGGCGGTATTCGACACCGGAACTGGCGATGAGGAAACACGCGCTGAAACACTTGCGCGACAACACCGACGAACAGCCGATATCGAACAAATCGTGTCAAACCGACATCCTGGGACTGGACAAGTACTTGCAGCGGTCACCGCCGGCGGACGCGACTTCACAGGGTTCGGCCGATCGGTCGGCGGCCGCGTTGAGAGCGTACCGGAAACCGTTGAAAAAGCCCAAAGTGCGGTCGGTGGGCGTGCACTGCGAGCGGCGGCGGTTAACGTTCGCTGCGTTCAAGGGCTGCCAGAAGTTTAAGCACGTGTACAAGCGCAAGATCTCGCTGCCGCATCCATCGTCGGCCACGTACACGTCGACGGACGACGGCCGCCAGGACAGCGGAATGCTACCGAAACTGCGGTTGGACCGAACGGATACAATGGAAAGGCCGGCAGCCGCTAAGGCGGGTCCGGCGGTGAAATTGCCGCGGATATCGACGAGGGACACGACCCGGCCGGAAACGGATCGGACGGACGACGGCTGCCGTGGTGGCAACGGCGGCGGACGAGGGACGAGACTGGCCGAGCTGAGCCGACCACGGTCCACAGGAAGCGGCGGAAGCAGTAGCGGTGACAGGAAGTTGGCTTACTTCCGGGTCAACTCGGCCCCGAAAATCGACTCCCGGTATTACACGCTGATCGCTGCACCGCCACCGCCACCACCACCGCCACCACCGCCACCACCGCCTCAACCGTTAACGATGCGCGAACAACAGTCGACCGCGGGGTCCAGCGACACGGCCGACACCGCGCTGGATATGTCGCACCTGGAGCACCAGCAATCTGACAACGAAACCACGATCACGGCGACCACGGCCACGGCCACGACTACAGTGGGAACAGGTTCGAGCACGAGAACCGTCTCCACGTCGACCACATTTTCCGAACCTGTTTTCCCGATCGTGTTCAGCTGCGAGAGCGTGCTCCGGCATCCGCTGGACGGCGGTTACTTGTCACACACCGAGAGCCACCGATTCAGCGTTCACTACGTGCCGTTGGAGGACGCGGCTAGGGCGGTGGCCACTACCGCCACGGACACGGACGACGGGTCGCGGTCGTCGTCGCTAGTGTTCACGTCGGCGGGCGCGTGCCAAAACGAACAGTGCCCGACCGGCGACTCGATATCCGTAGTCAGGGTGTGCGGCGATCCGGACTCGGCGACCACCGTGTCGCGGTATACGCCATCCACGTACGCGTCCACGGCGGACACGGCGGTCGAACGTCGGCTGGTCGTCGAACGCCTGCATTGCGATGGGACTGGTGCCGCGGACGAGGATGCGCCGTCCAATCGCGTCGAGGATGATGCGGTCGCGGTGCAAAATTCCGACGGAAAGTATCGGCAGCCGGTGGACGGCGAGCGGAACATCAGGCGAACGGGTGGTTATTACGTATTGGGAAAAGGAGACTCGGTGCACGGGCACGTAAACATGTTCGGAAAGGCCGTACCGCTGACGGGAACCAATAAAAATATTGATAGTTCCGGCGGTGACGGGGGAGAGGAGGTCGTTGCTACTACGTTCGAATCGCACGCACACGCGGACGACATGCCATTATTACGATCCGACGAGCAAAATTACGAGCGGTTGACACAGAACCAACAAATAATAGACTCCGGCCGTACCGTTTCACTTCAGTCGCCGACGATATTTGACGGCACGGACGAGCAGCGCGAAATCGATCTGAAACCATTGCGAGGAAACGACGAGCACGCGACCGAGTCTAGTGCGTCGTACGCGGAAGTCTTTGATTCAACGAAACAATCCACGGACAACGAATCTCCAAAACAGTCTACGGACGACGACGATTTGACGGACAACGACGAGTCGTCAAAACGATCGATTGACTCTGCGAACGAGCGATACGACGACCCGACGGCGAGGGCGATCGACTATCTCACCGTTCCGACGGACCGATCAATCGAGGGGAGCTCAATCATGGCGTCCCGCAGTTGTAACCCATACAGTGAGTCCGTAGGGAAACACGCGACCGAGAGGAGTGGCACTTGCGGCGAACATTCGTCCAATAAGTGGCAGTCGCACGGCGAACCTACGGACAAACGGAACTACGGAAACACGGCTAGCAAACGGAACATGCCGAAGCGACTACACGACGATGTGAGCCGAAAACGAGAGGATGAACGTGCGGCGAAAGCGACGGAACGAATGTCTCATTCGCTACCTACGGCATCGAACGCGGGCCATCGTCAGCAGCATCGCGGTAAATCTACCGAAAACGGCGGACGGTTGGCGGATTCAAATCAACCGCGTGCCAGTAAAACGGCGTCCGAACACACTGCTAGCAATCATCGCTGCGGGCCTCTGACGAACCACTCGGACAGTAAGCGCGTAGTCGGCGCCGGTCGGCAGGATGCCGATCCTTGTGTGCATGTTGTCGTTGCCAAACGGCATAGTCGCGCGGATGAGGAAGACGCGAACGCTTGCAGCCGGTGCACGCACAGAAGCCAATCACACAGAAACAACGAATCGAAACGTGTCGATCCGGAGGACCATCGCAGTCACCACGTCGGGCACTCGTCGTCGTACGACGGCGGTACCACTCAGTTGGTCAAACCGAAACGACAGTTGGAATCGGTGGACGAGTGCGCGGAATCGAAGGAGTCCAACTACGTCGGCGGGTATCTCTTCGGTGATTCGTTCTACAGAAAGCCGCCGCAAAAATTCGACTCTAGCACCGATCAGAGCCATGGCAGTATCGCGCGTTCCAAGTACAAGTACTACGACGACCCCAAGAAGGTTAACTTCTCGTCCGAACCCGACGACCATCACTACGGTTACTACGAACACTACGCGCCAAAGACACGGCACAGCCCCAGGGACGACGATTGCACTGTGTTCGCGGACAGTAAGGGGCACGTGGCCGAACACGCGTCTTACTACTCGCAGCTGGGCAAATCGTCGTACACTGATGCCGATGGTGGCGGTGGTGGTGGTGATGGCGGAGACGACAAGAACTCGGACAGCGACGAGAGCCTGACCGACAGCTTGGAGGACGGTAAGTGCGAGGGTGGAACGTCCGTATCGTATTTTCTGGCACTGAACGGCCAGAGATCGGCGGTCACGTTCACGCTAAAGATGCCCAACACACTGCAGAGCCGACTGAACCGACGTCAGAGCATGCTCAAGAAGCACCTGCACGTGTCTACGACGGTGAGAAAGACGTCGGTGCGCGTCCGCAAGCGCCACAAGGGCTGCCAGACACTGTGGACAGAGGAGAAAGGCGTGCAGGTTCAACGGGGTTCAACGGCCAACGCAACCCGGAAGTCAATCGCCGACGACCGCAAAGTGCTGGAGACATTACTTGCTGGATTGGAACACCACCACGTGTCGGAAAATCAAATACGTGTGGTCAATGGCCATAAAATGGTGTCCGAGGGCAACCAGACGGAAAAAGTGCCCGAACCGCCTACCGACCGGCATACGCAAACGCATGTGTCCCAAACAAATGTGGCCGCTGGACCCGGAACGCCAGAGAAACATAGCCGGGTCCAGTCACATGTGGTGAAGAAGTTTTCCTCGGACAACGCATTAATGGTGGGAGTGGTCAGACAAAACAAGTACAAGGGCAAGGAAGCATTGGACGGAACCAAAAATGATCAGCTGCTTACGTTGTCCAAGGGTTGGATCAATTTTTACACTCTCAGGGCAGACAGCGCGGATACCACTGACACACTAGGTAATTATCGGTTAGATTTAGGCCCATCGTGAAAATATAATCACTTACAACCCGATAACAAGCACGTCAAAATATTACCAATTAGACTTTTCGATCAATTGATATTCAAACATACAATGTGATCACGATTTCAGATACCGCTAAATACCTTAGCTAGATAACCTGGTATTAAAATTAATTTTTCGAAGGACTTAGGAGCTACTGAAATACACATTTTCTTTTAACTATCTTCGTGTATGCATGCACAATACAACTTACGTGTTTTATATGATAATCCTTATTTTTTTACATATTCAAATGAATTAATATTTTTTCAAAAAATGTTGGTATAAAAAGGGTTTTTTTTTAATATTCAAAATTGACTAAATGAGAGTAAGTCAACATTTGAAATGATGCATAGGCGTGCTCAAATGAGAAGTTTAAGGGTTGACTACAACCTCTTCCTCATTGGTTATTATAAATTTTTATTGATTTTTACATTCTTGGATCATTTTTTATATCAAACGACGATATAACGGATACCAACTAATTTTCTAAACATTTTTTTTTTTTTTGTTAGTTGTGTTACTATCACGCTTAAAGTTATACTTGAGTATATAGAACGGTATTATTTAATTTTAATTGTGATAACACTCCGAATCACTACTTTAATCCAGCTAGAATCCAGGGCAAGATCAAAATCTCAGTAGGTCAGTTTGCAAATACCAACTGGAAGCCCCTTAAAAAAAATGTGTTCAACATAATAATTATATATTTATTTAACCTATATAAATACATTAAAATGACTAAATAATTGAAATTTAAGTACCATAATTAATAAGTTAATTTAAATAAAAGTAAATAAAAAAAAAATATTGTATCGGACTATTTTAAATTTTAAATTTTGGATTTAGAGGCCCCTTCAGTTCTTCGATTTATAAATTTGAGGTCTGGTGCATTGTGCCCCTGTATCTCCGCTAAATCTAGTACAGACCGTAATATAGTTTATAAAATACTTTGATCTCATATTAAGCCATAAGTGCTTCAATTTAAAATTTTATAGTTAAAAATTAGTAATTATAATGTTCTAAAATAGTGAAATCAAAGTCTGTAAATATTAAAAATTATTTTCATACTTTTATATTACATTTTAATCATTATTTTCAATCAAAATTAAAATTATTTCTTTTTCATAAGTTGTTATTTTCATATGATTTTCATTTTTGTAAACTTTTACATTGACCTTGGCTTGAAAGAATTAGTTAACCTTGCTGAAGCCACAGTTCTGATTATACTGGGGATTTATTGATTCCGTCAAAACTTCTGGTTTAAAAAAAATACCAAAATAAATTTATTGATAATTTATCAATACAACTAAATAACAAAAATATTTCTATGTTTACGTATGTAAAACACGTTTCTACATATAACATTCTATTGTTATTATTATTATTATAATTATAATTTTACTATACAAGTTATAATTTTTTTGACATTTGAGTATATTTATATAAATTTATATTTAATAAAATTAGATACATTAATTTTTTACATTTTTGTATTTATTAACTTTACCCTATAAATATAATCATGTGAAAGTAGGAATCGCCGATAGTTGATTTTTATAAATAATAGCAGGCGGAATCAATAACCGACGAAGTCGATTTACGATTCTTACGAACAGTAGTCGGCAGAATGAGGTGAATTACGCTGGCATCCGCAGATTAAAATAACTACTCAAAACCAGAACCAAAATTTGTTATATAGTTTGTACAAATTTGTAAACACATTTTGAAAATTTGTATACATACCTCCTAAAGGGTGGGAAAACACTTTTTCATTCCCGATGCTAGTTTGATATAACTCATTTGCATAAAATAAACAATTTTTAATTATAAATGTATGATTAAGTACCTAATTGTTATTCATGTTTTATTATTGGGTCATCTTCAATATCTTAGAACATTATATTAACTGAAATGTTGACATTAGATACACACTAATTGCATTTGGTTTTTAGCATTGATATGAATTAATACGTTCAATGCTCCTTCTTTTTATACACTTAGTTGTAATATGATCAAGATTGTGAAGTGTGTAAATTGATAAAAAAAAAAAAGCAACGTAGTAACTTAGAAAAGAACATTATCCATATTGTTTGTATGTATTATCGTAAAATCTTTTATTAATGATTTGATGTAAGCAGTACTATAATTTATCAAACCGAAATGAAAAAATGTTTTCCCACCCTTTAGGGGGGTGTACACATTTTTAAAATGCGTTTACAAAAAACTTGTACAAATTATATAACAAATTTTGGTATCGGTTTTGAGTGCCTAAGATAAAAATTATAAATGCGAATACTGGAGTAACGTTACGCTAGCATCCGAAATGAAAGTCTTTTTCTACTTTTTAGGGGAGTGTACAAATTTTCAAAATGCGTTTACGAATTTGTACAAATTATACAATAAATTTTAGTACCGGTTTTGAGTAGTTATTTTAACCTACGGATTGCCAGCATCACTTACCAGGCAGAATCGATATTAAATCAGTTTTCTACTATTCGAAAATTACATAAAAACATAATATGTTTCAAAAACGGAGGTAAAGGTAACACATTGCTCCTGATTAGCTAAGTGACTTTCAAATTGAATTTACAATAATAGTTTTACTTTTAAAAGTGTCTTGGAAAAAGCCTCGTCAAATTGATTTTATTTTCATTCATTTTGTTATAATTTAGAAGCCAAATTTAACAAATATTTTTTTATATAAAAATTGTACATTATTTATTAATATTTTATAAGAGATATCTCATTTTTATATGAATTTCCATATAAATAATAAAAAACATTTCAACCCCTCCTCTACATATTCAAAATTTCTGAACACGCCTCGGAGGTATACATCATTGATTTTTTATGAAATTATTATCTAAATTACTAAATTATTAAATATAGTGTCAAATAATTTCAATACCGTCCGTGGTACCAGAAATCGTGATCGCACTGAATAAATTTACCAACCAGTGGCGTAGCGTGGGTATCGGCTGCCCGGGGCTGAAGACAATTTTGCTGCAATCTTAATTTGGTATTACAATTTACTGTATACTATACATTATATATATATATTAATTCTAGAAAATTTTTCGGCAAGAACAGTCATCATTAATCTGAATTATACAGATTAGATTTTAAATAAAACAGTTTATTTGTTTTACAATTATGTTTATTCATACAAAAATTCTTACTTCAACCATTGATATAACAGGTACAAAGGTATTATTTAATCATGCGGTCATCGAGGTGAACCTTAATTTTAAGTAGGTAATAGTATCTACTTATAGATACTTATACTTATTATACAACTAACCTAACTACCTTATAACGGTAAAATGCCACACTTTTTTTTACTCTTTATATTTTTGATGCTAGAATAAAAAAAAATTGTAATGATAAAAGTTAGAGTTACAAAAGAAACTATCAAACATTTCAAAAACTAGGTCTATTTTACACCACATCTATCTATAGCAGTGCTTCCCAAACTTTTTCGACTCACGGCACCCATTTTGATCTTAGGTTTTTTCAGGGCACCCTTCTCTAAGTCATAGCATGACTAATCATAAGGAAAATGTTAGACCCGATAGTATTTCATGATAGCGCGGTGCCCCTATACAGACATCGCGGCACACACTTTGGGAACCTGTAATCTATAGACAAAAATCTGAAAACCGTAATTATTTATTCGGAACTCTGGGTATGCAAGTATAAATCTCGTACATAGCCGGATTTTAATAAATTAAAGTTTGAACAACATATCACAGTCCAACATACAATTATATAAATAAAATATTTAATACTCACACAGTTAAATGTAGGTAAACGTAGCGGAAAATTCAAATTTTCACAAAGTTATCCCATAATTTCATAACCACTACACGCACTTATTTGCACAAAAATCACAGTTACGAAATAGTGTGAACTAAAAAACTGAAGATCCATGAATAAAACTTTCTTTAAATTGTCAAAGCATCACGTACTTCCTAAAAGGACGTAATAAACAACATTGAACTTTATAACCGAGTATACATATACAGAAGTCATTCTCGCTGATTATAAGTCAAACAATCCAAGCACAAAATAAAATACGGGGAATCCCCGTAATTTAGTATAGACGATGTTACCATCACTACAAAATATCATTCAAAGAAAAGGGGACTCCCCGAATTCGTCACAGAATAAGTAATAAAAAATTCCGTGCTCTTTTCAATCGGTCCGAATTTATAGTTTTGCTTAAAGTATGAAATGGTTCAAATATTTACAAAATATATTTTATTATTTACTGTGAAATTTTGAAACCCCCTAAAAAGTGCCGCTCAGGGCACCCCCCTACCCCCATTACACAACGCCACTGTTACCAACATATACATTATAACTATATGCTCATCATTATTTCCAATCCTATTGTGTCTTACTCGGTTTCTGTTTTGTGGTTTTACATGTCTGCAGTTCGTACCCAACGTTTTTCATATCGGCATTTTTCCAAAACCATTCTCTGATTTCTATAAAAACACATGGGCCATTTAAAACAGAGTTTTTTCAGTATTAACTATGTATTTCACAGATTTTCGCTCAATTTGATCCGTTGAGAATAGCTGCTGTGTTTTTATGTGTTTATACGTGTACCGATTTTTAAAATTTAAAAACAAATCAATAGAGCGATAAAAGTGTAAAATACTGGTGGATAATTTACATATCGTTATTATTATATTGAAATAGAATTGAATGCTAACGACGACGAAGTCAAACACGATGATGACAATCAGCAATATACAGTGCACGTACAAGCCATTCCTGAACCAATGGCATTACCTGTTGTCCATGTTCCAGCTAGAAATACTTTACAAGTACCGAAGACGTGTTCTACGACAAAGCATTTGCCTAGACTCGTGCAAACGGAATCCAACAATAATCATCATTGTTCGTCGCATTTAGGTAACGTGACACTCGAACACTATAAACACTATCTTGTTGACACGATGTATATTTTTTTAAGGAAAATTACTATACTTCATTTTTATCCATTTGTATTATCAGACTTGGGTAGTATTCAGAATACTTTTTAAATGCTTTTTTTGAAAGTATTCAATAAAATATTTTGAATACTTATAACGAATATTCTGAATACTGTATATCGAATACCGTAAAATCATCTCTTTTTTAAATTACTCTTTTTTATTACTTTTCCGTCGTATCTTGTATAAGCTAATATCAGGTATTTATTATTATTGTAAACCATAAACTATAACAGTTATGTAATATAAAAATACAATAAAATAACATACATTTAGTCTACATTTCAAATATTTCTGTTGAGTGGACATCTATTATTTTTATAGTATGAAAACTAGAAGTATTTTAAAAGTATTCTAAATAATGTATTTGGAATACAATTTGTATAAAGTATTTGAATACATATTCGGAATACTATTTTTTGTAAGTATTCGAGTATTTATTGTAAATACTTTTAAAAAGTATTTTACCCAAGTCTGTGTATTATATTATCTAAACTACTATAAATCAATGTTATGTAGCATTTGAATGAGGAGGAGGACATAAAAGGACAAAGTACTACAACTATTTAATTAAACATTATCCCATACCCTTAATTATGGATCATGACTATAAGCTGGTTGCGCTTTTTTTTATGTAATATTGTACCCCAAATTTTTTTTTCAATTCGAAAATTGTTATGTTAGCACATAAATTATGGATTTGACTCCACAATTACTCTGCTCTGTGTAATTATGTACAGTGGCGTATATAACATTTTTTTAAAGCAGGAGGTGAAATTATAAACATAGATTTTATGTCAATATCAAACGTCAATTTTTTTATCTCTTGGAACGAAAAAATAATGTTTTTGGTATTCCATCAAAATTAGCAAATATTACATTAAATGTAGTAAAATTGTACACAATTAATATGTACATGTTAAAATATTCACGATGCACATTTTTTCATTCTAACCATTTCAAAACGGCATTTTTTTTTAGCCCTTAGGTAATTTATTCCCGAATTCCCTTCCATTTGTACACCACTGATTACGCAAAACATATTTCAATTGCTTATTTCTAAACAAACCCATAAGTACATGCGCTTGAGTGTACTGGAAATACTACTAAAAATACTGAAAATTAAAAAAAGAAAACCCAAACATCCTTCTGGAATTCCTTTATTTTCAACGAATAAACGAATTTTCTTAATTTTTAACTTGAAATTACAACTTTTTCACCATCAGTGGCATATTTTTGGTGGGAGAGGGGTCTCGGGTCTTGACTCCCCGGAAACAGATTCAAAGTCATAAATGATTGATAGATAGTACAGAGAAAAAGAACATTAATTTATATCATATGCTTGTAAATAACTTTTCGTTTGTATTTATAATAAAAATTATAATATAATTATATAATTATTAATCCATACTTTATATATATATATATATATATTTATAATATTATAAAATCCCTTATTTTTTAGAAAAATGTAAAACGCCCACTCAAAAAAATTGAAAATATGTCACTGATCACCATTATAGACTAATTAATAAATCCATATTTAATTGTATTTTTTCCAAAAAATAAAAATAAAAATTTTCCCTATTTATATATTAAACAATTTTATTTCAAGCAAATTGATATAAGAAAATAGTATACAACTGCTATATTTACTTGAAGTAAAACAATAGAATATTGAGTCAATAACAACATAAATTAAAAAACCGGTTCCTAATAGTAGTAGGCAAATCCGGATTTCATGAATTATCTTGATTATTCACATTATGGCACACTTTTATATTCACATAAATTAAATTAAGATTGAGCAAATAAAATAAGGTACCTAATTGGGTATTTATTCGTGATATCACTGTAAGTCATAAAGATATAAAATAAACTCAACAATGTAATAACTAGTTTTGGTAACTAATAAAACATAATATTAACTTGTTAAATTTGAATAAGATAAAATAAAATAAAATAAAATATAATATATATAACCTAAATTAAAAATACTAATGATATGTATATATAATAAATACACATTATCCCCCATAATTAAACATTTTTATTTCAAATTTTATTTATGTTTTAAATTCTCTCAGTAACTCGAAGTTTCGATATGTCGAACTTTTTTATTTTTTTTTTAGTCCCTTGCGACATTGAGATACCAAGGTTTCTTTGTATATTACTTAAAGGAATACATTTAAATAAATCAGTTTAATAATAATGAATATCTTTTTTTTTAACATATATGGGTAAGTGTTTTATTTTAAAATATATTTTGTTTTTATAAAATAATATATGTGATGTACTTGTATATTAGCTTTATTAAAATAATAAAATGTTAAACACTATTGATTTTTTTTTAACAAATTTTTTAATTTTGTGTTAATAAATCTATTGTTGATTGGGTTTTTATTCAATAATATTAATATTTCAATTATTCTAATCACGAAAATATCTCGTTTCTTTTAATCAAAATTATATTTTGATCGTATATATCATATTTTTATATATGATATATTATACATCAAAATTATATTTTGATTACTTAATCAAGTGAATAATTAATTATTAAAATAATTATATTATTCCCAACACTAGTGTTTATATAGATTTTGAGTAAAAGAAAATACTTCTTTGAAAATATATATGTGAGGCCTTAGACTTGACAACCTAAATTGGTTCGCTAACTTTTGACCTTCAATCCATTCGTATATTAGAGATCATGGTGAAAATCAAAATCCACTAATCAATGGCGCATAGAAGATTTTTGACGAGGGTGTCGAAAATATATATTTCGAGGTACCCACCCACCCCACAAGTAAAATCTGAGTTTAGGCATAGTATAACTCTTATTCTTAAGTATTTTTGGTTTTTTCTTACTAACAGAAATACTAAAAATAAAATGTTTTAAAATAGACCTAATATTAATTTTTTTTCAATTTTCTGGGTATTAATTTATAAGTTTGTATAACATAATTTTTGGGATTGAGCTCTACTACTTATTTTCATGTGAAGCTTTAGTTTTAGGGTTAATATAATTAGTATGTTGATTTGGATAGCTGAAAAATTAGATAGTATTAAATTAAACAAATATTCATACAAGTTCACATAGAATTAATCATCCACCAACTCTCTGAGGGGTGTCAGTCGACACCCTTGATCCCCTCTGTGTGCACCACGGCCACTAATATTGTCCCGTTAAACTTTCTTCATTAAAAACAATAATATAAATCTTAAATTTTAAGTGTTCGAGTTTAATATAAATTGTTTATTTTATTATTGTCTTTACAATAAAAAAACTAACAGATTAGTTGGATGCGCCAACATTTGTCGTCGCAACACAATCGAATTATCAATGGTTGAATGCGGATTCGTACTTATTAATTTATACTTCAATATTAATAAATAGTAAATTATTAATGATAATGTAACTTTTTATCCATATGTTTGTGATGACTTTAATTTGAGCATTATATGTGTACCTACCTATTCTAAATCATGTCCTGACTAATCCGGATCGTAGTTTCACCAATACCCGTGTAATTAAATAAGATGCATAACTTATCTTTAAAACCTTGAATTAATTTATAAAACATATTATTAAAATAGTGGGTTTAATTAGTCATATGATTGAAAAATAAGTATCATACATTTAAATTTGTTCAAACCATATGCGAATCTCCACACATGTACGGAACTTAAAATATAATAATCGCAACAAAAATGTCTTGCTAGATAATATTCATAATATATAAACAATTGTACTAAGTTCAAAAGTCCTTTAAATTTTAAACTAAAATATGCAATAACCTATTTTATTTACAATAATATGAAAGATTAAAAAGTAATTAGATATATTTTTAAAAATGTATATAAATAATTGGATTTATGACAAAAACATTAGCTAGATAATCTATCGCTTAGGTTAAGTTAAGTTAGATCTGGAAGATAATTTGGAAAAAAAATTTTATATCTTAAATTTTCACACAGATATGATCAGATAAATTATAATTTTTTAAATGTGAGCATTTTGGATTGTTAAAATCTACATTAAATCTGAAATAATAATGACAAAAATAATAAATGTTAATCGTTAATAGTTGTAATCATAAGATTTTTTGTACCTACTTATAAAAACGAATTTAAATTAGAATCTGAGTATTCCATGAATAGCTTATTGATTTTACTATAATATTTTTATTGTTTTGATGTTGATGGCAAAAACAAAACAAATAAATATACAATTGTTCTTTAGGTATCTACTTCAATAGTTTTTTCAATAAATTGTAAATTAAATGCAGAATGTACTTTCAACATACCAGCGGCGTCTTAGACTTTTTTTTAAATTGTTCATATAATACTGTTAGATACAAGGACCTATATAAGAGTAGGTAACATCGCTACATATAATCTATTCCTATTTTAATATTTTGAAAATCACATACTTTGAAATTAATAATTATTGTTCTTACACCGTCTTGAAATAAGTCACTCTGAAATGATCAGTTTTCAAATAAAATCAATGAACAACTCTTTCCTAGTAGATTAATACTATTATTCACATACATTTTATGAATACCATATACTATATAATACATAACAGTATTTATTTATTTATTATTTTTTTCTTATCTAGTATTAAAATAAATATTCTCATTCTATACAAATTAATTAAACGTCATGGTTAATTCATACAGCAACAGACAACGGTTGGTGTGTAAGTGTAGATGGTCCAAACAACATGCACATGAAGGTCTCATTATTACCAGATAAGTCAGACGTTAAAGCATCGGAACATTTCGACTTAAATGGTAACTATAGTACAAAAACAGTACCATTATGTTTTGTTTAAATATATCCAAATTTTCAGAAGAAAATAAACTAGAAGCCAGGAGGTTAGCTTTACAACGTAAGAACAACTATATGCGTAAGCCATGTAGAAATATTAAAAGAACACAATCAACGGTAAATCTTTTAGTTAAATTTTAAATTTATTTTGATGGAAATCCTTGTTTAGCCAAGGGACATGTTCTCAGCTGATGTTTCTCGGACAGAATCTGCATTGTCAGCCGAAAGTAAATACATAGAAACAATTGACACACAACTATTAATTCACAAAGCTCGCAGGTTTAAATGTTTTTAATATTATAAAATATTCAAAAACAATAACTTTAACACTATTATGTATTTATTTGAAACAGACGTTTGAGTCAAGAATGGGACACAAGAATTCAAAATGGAGGTGTAACTGAATCGGTTCAATTAGTCGTAACAGGTGATTCGGTTTCAAGTAGAACATCTCAGCATTATGCAACCAGAGGACATCAACATTGCTCATTCAGAAGACAATCAAGAAGAATTTAAAATTAAAATATTTTAAATAAATTATTAGCATAAAAATTATTTTTTTTGTACAAGCAGAAAAATTAGTTATCAACTAGAAAAACGTATTATTACTCACAATTACACATTTTTATATAAATTCAACTTCATATTTAACATAAGAATTTAAAATATTTCTTATATGGTTTGTATTATTATTATTATTTTTAGATGGAAACAATTTCACATAAAAGCAATAATAATAAATGTTATACTGTAGTGTATATATATAATACAATTTTTATTTGAAATTTGACTTCATCTAAACCCATAATACATAGATCCAATATACAAACAAAAATTACTGTTTAAAGGGTTGTCCAATTGCAAATTTAATTTTCTTTTCTTGTGGTTCATCTTCTGATTTCTCAAGGACATTTTTAGGTTGTGTTTTAGCATAAGCAGGAGTAATCCAATATGGATTATCAGCTGCATCTTTAGCATATTTTAAAATTGCTTCTCGTGGGTCCTGATCATCTTCTACTCGTTTACTTAATCCCAAATTACGAATAACATATGAGCTTAGAGTGCTACCAGATGCAGCAACACGACCACCCTGTCCTGACTTGATTGGTAAATCTGGTCTTTTAGATTTAACTGGATCCAATCGGTCTTTGTCATTTCGTTTCTTTAATGATTTATTTCTATCTTGTCTGAACATAGGCAAAGCGTGTGGTGTTATGATTTGTTGTGTTGGTACCATTTCCATTTGCTTAGTCTTAGTATGAGCTTTTGAAGCACATAACATTGCACCTCTTTGACTATCGCCTTTATCATAAAATACTTTAACTGTTCCATCACCACAGCCTGCAAATAACTGCTTAAGCTTTGGGTGCCAATACACCTTAATGGAATGTGTTTCAGAAACTTTAACTTTTTCAAGAAGTTCAAATGTATTGGTATTATAAAACATTAAATGTCCTCCCGATTCTTTTGGACGTACTGAATGACCAGTCACTACTATAGAATCATCAGGGCTAAAACAACAATCTGTTGAAGAATACCTATAAAATTAAAATTTTATTTAATAATTATAAGATATTAAAAATTAAAACTGCCTTAATTTCATACCTAGAGTAAAGTCCATCAACAATATGTATAGGCTTTTTGAAATTTCTTATATCCCAGAGTTTTAAGGTTTCATCAATACCTTCACCTCGAGTACAAATTAAAGTATCTCGATAAGAAAACACAATAGAAGAAGTATCAGAATTATTCAAATGGCCATCTCGTATCGTAAGTGTGGCATTTACAAAGCTTGGTTTCCTTGTATCCCAAACAAGAATTGATCCATCTCTACATGCACAAGCAACTAATTTTCCATCATTACTATAACTACAAGTGGTTGGTATTGTTCTTAGACCATTCTTGGCCCTACATTTTATAATACTTTTGTGTTTATCTTTTTTGGTCATGTCCCAAATACGACAAGATCCATCTTCTGAACTAGTTAAAAATTCTTCTTTATTTCTTGGATGCCAGGAACCACAAGTCAATGGAGATGTATGACCCTTGGTACGCACCTAAAAAAAAAAAAAAAACAAAAAATGTATTAATATTATTTAAAAATACATATAATACAATTTTAATTAGTTGTAAAAAAAAAGTTGTAAACATAAAATATACTTACCATGTCTGATATGTACTGGTCACCTTTGACACATTCCCATAATTCATGACCATCTCTATCTAATACTTTAGCTTGAGACATACCAGAAATAACTAAAAGTCGATCTCCAGTGGGTGAATATTTTACACACTTAATTGGATGATTACCACAAGGATTTAAAGTACGGAAACTCCGTAATGTTTGGTCCATACCAGCAAAATCCCACAATCTGACTTCATAATCAACAGATCCACTAGCTAACCTGACCCCAGGAGGATCAATACAAAGTGCAGTGACTGCTTTAGTGCCATGATTTAAAGACACTTGACTTTCTATAGGGATTTTAATTTGTTTTGAACTATCATCGTCATTATCATCATCATCATCACTTTCATCGTCTTCATCAGAATCATCTTTCAAACAAATTAACTTTTCAGCTTCTTTTTTCTTATCACTTTCATTCACAGAAAGATTTTGTACATTATTAGTTGGTATTTTTATTTCATCAGGTACTGGTGGTCCAATATAATCGTCTTCATCATTTATATCACTAGTTTGCAGATTGGATTGTATCTCATTAACAATAGATTCAGAATCAATATTGGACATTTTCAACAAATCTGAAATCAAATTAAATAATATACATATTAAAAACAATTATTATACTCAATATGTATAAAAGTATAATTCATTTTATTTTTATACGTGTAATAAGAATTTAAACATATTTTCTAAGATTAAAACAATGTTGATAACATTAACAAAATAAAAATAATTTTATCCGTACACATGAAAATGAAAATTCAAAATACCTAATAAATATTTTACAACTACAACTAATGTAGTATCAACAAATTATAATATCACAATCAGAGATACATATAATAAGAAAATAATTCTTAATCTTATAATACAGGGATCTGGGATAGTTAAGGAGATATACTTACATAATATTTTCTAAATTGATTTAAAAGCTTTGAAAAAGATATTCGTTTTGTTTACAATATTGTTACTTGATAATTCAATTCAATATTTCTTATCATCGAAAACAATTTGGAATTATCACAAAATATATTACCTATTCTATGATTCTACTTTGCATATGATAATCAATTTGAAATTTTAATTCTAAATTAAACAAATTTAATACCTAAAACTCATTTCAACAGTTTTAGTTGATTATATATATGTAGTTAAATGTTATTTTTATTTTATTTTAATGGTGAATTATAAATTTTCCATTTCACTCTTATCATAAGAATGAAAGTAGTAACATTTACCGTAACTTAACCTCTAAACATATCATGCACAAATAATTGCCGAATCTTTTTTCTCTTTATTGTTGTATAAAATCTTACTCTACGATTATATTCATAATTTATACAGTCACTTAATTGCATAGGTGAAAATTGAACTGGATTTGCGAAAAGCCGTAAGTACATATTTACATATTTCTTTAATAAATTATAAACTATGAATACAATTTAACTTATTTCTAATTAATAAAATAAATTATGAAGAATTTTCAGACTTAGGAAATCTTACTTTAATTTAAATGGATTTTAGAAATTATTTAATATTATAAGTTTAAGACCCAGGAATAAAATCTTAATTAATTATTTTATCAAGTTACGTTTTATTGTGTAACTAGGTTATTAGTGAAATTTTTTTAATTCAACATATCTTACGATGAATTCTGTGTTTCAATCACCTTAAATAATTGTATTGAACGTTTTATATTTTATAATATATTTCTGATGTTCTATATATATGTTACATTAAAGGTGTGCTTAGATATTTGTTATAGGAAGTATCAATGAGTTTAGGTGCTTGTCTGAATGTGATGATTTTTACCTTTTCATTTAAAAAAAAAGATTAATTTTACGATTTTGCTAGTTATTGCGTATGCTCTATAGAAATCCATGATGTTCAAAGAGAATTTTGTATAATTTTTTTTTTAAGTTTCCATTACAATTAAGACATTTTGGTTGTCCCATGATATTTTTAATAATAACAAAAGTATTAGTCCAATCCACCCACTACTAAATTCTTTAATTTCCTTTTAAATTTTAAAGTTTTTGTTTATCTACATCTCATTTGCAATATTGCTATATTTTAATTCAACGAAAAGTTTATAGAAATGAATACTGTGGAATCATTATAGATAAAATACTATTTTATTTTTACCTAAAATAAATATCGTTCTTAAGAAATTCAGAAATATTATTACTATAATAACATATAATTAATTTATATTTTATGGCTCTCGATATTGATGCATTTTCCAAAGAACCACAAATTGTATGTTAAGGAGCCACAGATTCCTGCTTTATAGCAAAACCACTTTTGGCCTATGTTATCTTTTATAATTTCTCATCTATATTTTTTATAGTAATTAATATTTGATATCATTTTGAGAAAATTTTGATCTATTACTTTATATTTAGTGTTGTATATAATATGATATTTAAGGTATTAATATTAACTTTCATTTGCTATCAAACTCATTTAATCTTTGATTTATACATTTTTTAACATGACATATCCATTGCTATAACTTCTGGTTAAACAAAAATGAAGAAATTGTTGACTGCATACTTGAAAATTACTCAAAAACTTTATAATTTACAAAAGCACTCTAATTAATACAAAATATTTTACTATCGAGCTACTAACACTTATTAAAAATTATAAAATTTTTAATTAATTATTTATAAATATAACAATTATATCTATCATACCCTTTAAGATAGAATTGTTATTCTTCCATTCAAACATTAATGGAATTAATTATTTTTCATAATATATTGAATTTTCATAGCACTGTAATAATTTATTCCTATGACAAAATGAATGCTTTCATTTAAATTGTATTATTTGATATTTATGAATGATCTACATGTATTCTGTATAAATGGAACCTTTACAAAATTTATTAGTTATATTTTACTTTATGTTTTTATTATAGTAAATAAATTTGAACGTTCCAAAAATTGTTAAAATCCAATAATAATATAAACATCATTCATATTCACATAATTTTTTTAAAAAAATGAGTGATGTTCACTTGTAATTTACAAAATGTGAACAAGTGAATGTGTATTCACAAACTACATTCTTTCCAAGCACTGTGTGGTTCAAGTAAAACATTTATGTTGTAATTCTCATAACATTTAATATTGTATAGGTTGTTCAATTGGTACTAAAATGTATACTTTATTTCACTGTTAACAAATAATGTGGACTTAAACAGCATATACATATGTATTACTTTAATTGTTTCAATGTTTCGTTCGAAGAATAACGTTTATGAATAACTAATAATAATTAGTAATATCTGTATTTAATATTTGTGACTTATATTTTATATATATTTAAATATATTTGTGGAGATTTGTATTTTATAGATCATATGTTTTAAATTTAAAATTATCACTATTTTAATTTACCGTTTTTTATTTATGTTTGTAGATTTAACGACTATGGCTGCACAAATATTCAATCGTATTGGTCAATTAGGTCTTGGTTTAGCAATAGCTGGAAGTGTAGCCAACACAGCATTATATAATGTTGATGGTGGTCATCGAGCTGTTATCTTTGATAGATTTACAGGAATAAAAAACACTGTTGTTGGAGAAGGAACACATTTTTTAATTCCATGGGTGCAGAAGCCTATTATTTTTGATGTCCGTTCTCGCCCCAGGAATGTACCAGTTATCACTGGTAGCAAAGATTTGCAGAATGTTAACATCACTCTCAGGATATTGTTTAGACCTCTACCTGAACAATTACCAAAAATATACACCATTTTAGGTGTGGATTATGATGAACGTGTCTTACCTTCAATTACTACTGAAGTTTTAAAAGCTGTAGTTGCACAATTTGATGCTGGTGAACTAATTACGCAAAGAGAAAATGTTTCTCGTAAAGTAAATATTAACATTAAATGTTTAATATGTGATAATTGTAATGTCTATAATTCATTTCAGGTTAGTGAAACTCTTATTGAACGTGCTGGACAGTTTGGTGTTGTGTTGGATGATATTTCTATCACGCATTTGACATTTGGTAAGGAGTTCACGCAAGCTGTAGAATTAAAACAAGTGGCTCAACAAGATGCTGAGAGGGCGAGATTTTTGGTAGAAAAAGCCGAACAACAAAAACAGGCTTCTATTATATCAGCCCAGGGAGATTCTGAAGCTGCGTCTATGTTGGCAAAATCATTTGGAGATGCTGGTGAAGGTTTGGTTGAATTGAGAAGAATTGAAGCTGCTGAAGATATAGCCTACCAATTGTCAAGGTCTAGACAAGTATCATACTTACCTCCTGGACAAAACATTCTTCTCAACTTACCAACACAATAATTTCCATTTATGCATTTAGGAATTGATAGTTAGTTATGTTTTTTTTTTTCTTGTCTTAACTTATGTAAGTCACAATGTACTATAAAATCCGATTATATATTATTATATTGAATCAAAATTTTTTTTTTACGTTTAAATATGATTTTGGTATAATAAAATCATAGATTTATAGGAATAGGACATCAAAAACTGATTTCTACTTATTTTTTTACAAATACCAAAACAACTGCTTAAAGAGTCTAAATATTGTTTTTATTTATCTCAAAGCGTAAGGCTAAAAATATTTTGTTAGTGAAACACAAGGCTATTTTGTGTCATAAAGTCATCAGAGTTGTCATCTTATATTTCATTTTTAAATTAAATAAATACAAAAAAAAAAAAAAATTACAATTTTTTCTTTTTATATAAAATAAAAAATATTACACATTTCTTATTAAAAGTTATTAAAATTTGTTTTCTTTTATATATAATAATATAATTTATAATACAACTCTTAGAAATTAAAAACAAACAATTAAATAAGTTTTATAAACAAAAATTAAAACAAAATCTTATAATCTATTTAATAAATTAGAAAAATTCATCTGGGAAAGTAAACATATTTCTTCGATATTATTTTGTATGTAATGCTGTTGCTTTCTCTGAATAGACTAGAATAGGTTTTTTTGACAGCCAATGTCTGGTTTATAAATAAATAACCAAAAATAAATAAAATATATATAAGGGAGTACATATACCTTATTTTATTATTAAATATTTTATTTCTTCCCCAAAAACTCGACCATCTGGTTGTATTGAGCCTCTTCTGTTAACATTTGAAGAGACTCCAAACAAGCCTTAAAGTATACCGTGTTAAAGCATGTAGATCTGTAAAAAAAAAAAATAGATATTCGTATAAAATAAAAATGTGGAAAATGTCATTGTAGTTATTAAAAATATTTATTCAAAGTACAGTGAAACTTCCATACAACGACATTTTTTGTTTAACGAATAATTGTGAAGAACCATGATCATCATTGTGAATCAATCTGTGATAATAAATTTCTATTCAACGAATTTCTCTATACTACGAATTTTATTTGTTCCTCATGAGACATGGTTATACGAAAGTTTCACTGTAGTTATAGTTTTGTTAGTAGATTATCAATAATGGTGTTAAGGGTACAAAATACAAAAGTGGTAAAAACAGAGCATTATTTTCACGTTTTAATAATTTATGGTCAAAATAAAAATAAGCCATATCACTTTTCACTATAATAAAACAAAGAAAAGCAGAAAAAAAAATGGATTATAAGATTTGACATTCGTTGAGTATAATTCATAATTCCTGTCTCTGCAACAATAATACTTCTACATTCTACTTAAATAATCCTCTAAGTCTGTTAATACATGTTGGACATTCAATTTTCATTTTTCGCGTGTCAACTACTTTTCACTTTCCGTAAACCTTTTTCTTATGCTAAAATTGGCTCGCAAATAAATCGTCTTCAACTAAGCCCCGAATTTATAAACTTTACATTGTTACATTTCTAATGCTTCTTCAGTAACGGATATTGTTATAAATATTTAATTACTCTTATTATAATATATTCAAACATAACCAACAGTAAACATTTAATTTCATGTATTATCTGCACATCGTAATTTTCTAATAGTTATCTGTGTTGATTGTGAAGTATTAAACAAATTTAAAAACAATAGATATTTATCATTTTTCTTTTTTTATTATTATTCAAATACTGGGTACACTTATTAGTTATTATCAACGTACCCTGTTTTAAAGGATAAAGGACAGGACGAGGAGGGTAAAAATAATAAAAATAATAAATTGTAATGATCGTAAACAAAATCAAAAAAAAAAAAAAAAATACCTAAGCCCAAGACCCGACAGGATCAGCCCCGTGCAACTGTTTAATCCACTTCTGTATCTTTTCCACCTCGTCCTCAAGCAGAAGCACGTCCAGACATCCTTTGAAAAAATCTGTCGTGAAGCAATTTTTCCTGCAAAACCAACTGTTCGTTAGGTATTTGTCGCTGTCTAATCGAAAACTATACGTCGAGGAAACATGGTATTAAAAAAAATAAAAATTTATGTTTGAAAAACAGTCGACACAAGCTGCCAACGTAACGATAGTAGGGTCAGGGACCGGAACGTGTTACTCACTATAGAAAATATTTTATATTAGGTATACCTATTCGCGACACACTACACACAACTTCCAGGAATGATATCCATGACGGGTCCTGAGCGAACGTTTTAGCGAAAGTTCTTTTCAAAGGTAAATCGTTTAGAGCGATGTAGTTCGATCATTGCGTAACTATAATTACGCACAATGCGAGATCGCGTGGTGTAGCCTTATGCGTCGTGGCAAAAGCAATAGCTGTTCGACTTCGATCATAAACGTTAGTAATGTGGCCTCGACTTAAAGTGCGTGAATTGGCATTTTTTTTTTTTTTTTGTTAAATCGACGACGTATCGCAAAACGGATTTACCGGCCCTTGGACTCACCGCTGGAGCATCGCGCTGCGACCGGCCGAAGGACGAAAGAAAATAACTCCAGAACCGTCGGCACGGAAGATCGACTGCACAATCTCGTCACGGGCGTGAGAAGTTAGAACGCTTTCTCGATTTACTCCAGCGGCGAGTGGTGGGTGTACGGCACAAATGAATCGTAACGAATCCCTAGAACGGTATCGGGCGACGAGGGACGACCAGCGGTGCATATTAATAGCGTGCTTTTTCGTGTGACGTGATAGTATTGTTATAAAACGTGTGTGTGTATGTGTGTATGTGTGCTGGGAGATGAGCACGCGGGACGTGTACACAACAATACCGGGTGAGGGTTTTGCCGAGCGGCGGCGGACTACGGGACGGCGGAGGGATAGTCATGCGAACCTGCATAGGGAGTGGAGCTGCGGTTCTCTGAACAGGTTGTAACAGTCCTCGCACACCCTGTCCAGTCGGGCGAATATCGTCTTGTCGTACACGCCCTTGCACTGGATGTCGAAGAACGACCGTTTGCTGAGCGGGTGCTCGACACCCGACAACGACGGCGACGACGATCCGGCGGCGCCGGAACCGGACATCCGGTGGTGACCGCCCGAGTGGTGGTGCAAGTGATGTGCGGCCGGAACCGCGACCACGGACACGGCCATTATGGCTACCAGCGTGGCCATCAGCACTATTGCGGGTTCGAAGCCCATTCCACTGTATTTCGTCATCTGCGGAAAACCAACGGTCGGTATGATTAAAACGTAACCAACGACACACTTGACATAATATTCGTACAAAGATGAGGTGATTAGGATGGGGTTCGTGGGGATTATACGGGCGCGGAACATGTTTCGACAGCAATACAACGATCGTTTTTGTCGTACAAGGAGAGTAAATGTCATCGTTCCCCTCGCGTCCTTTTACCCGCGATAAAAAAAAAAAAAAAGAAAAAGAAAAAAAAATGCTGAAATCGCCACAGCTCAGAACACGCACGCAGCTGCCTATGATGACATCCTCTGGGCAGCCATAATTATGGTATTATGGCATTAATGCACATTCCCACCTGCACTTGCGTATTCTTATCATTTCGTGTCGACATCGGACTCGTTACCCGTTACGATTATTGCGCTCACAATACGTCAATATAGTTATGACGTACAAGCCAGTGGCGTATTTAGGAATTTTTCTAGGGGGGGGGGATGAAATATATAATAATACATCCTAACACCCATTAATTCGTACATAATATACATTTTTAAAATCCCCTAACTTGTTACCTATTGAGGTTAGTGTGGATCAAGGCAAAATAAGAATTAATCTTTATAATTACCTCATCATTTTCCAAACAAATTTTTTTATTTGTACTAAAATAAGAAAATAAAGTTTTTTTTTTCTTTTTGAATATTACTCATATTGTCTTAAAACTTCACAGTTACAACTTACAAGACGCAAAAAATAAAGTCGAACAATAGTCAATTCGGCAGTAAGTCAGTACTCGGAATGGCGAGGCGTCGCTATCCGTCAACGTCCAATGACCGTACATATCTACTTTTAACGAATCACGATATCATACGATAAAATATATATATATAGCTATACATTAGCCATAAATCTACTAGTAACAAATTTTCTAAAAATAAAGCCGCCCGGCCGCCCTATGGTTAATCCACGATCTTCATGGTCATTTTGTTTTGTTTACCGATTGCTTATCGGGTTTATTATAATCACTCTTGCATGAAATATAATTCGCAGAAACGTACAAAATACAGTACACCATAATATAGGTATATGCCTGATAGTCGTACATGCCGCCAACGATAAACGATTAGTGGCGATTAGTATATCAGACTATCAAAGCGGTACAATTACCACGACTAGAA